GGCTGCTTTGCATTCAGAACGCTGAGGCTGCTTTTTAAGAATGACATCTGTGGGTATATCTGTGCACATTATGGAGCGTGGCACCGTTTTTCCTTTCAGAGCAACACAAAGAAAAGGGCGCGGGGAATCTTGAAGAAAAGCACCCCATAAAACCACCCAGGCGGAAAAGCAATCAGGAAATCAACGGTCTCCAAGGCGGCGTTTGTATTTATTTCGTATAGTTTTATTCAGGCTTCCTTCCCCAACACAGGTATATTTGCATGCACGCGCCTACCGGTACACGGGAGCGCGCATGCGCAGACATCCCCACTCGCCGAGCCCCGAACTCCTCTTGCCTCTCCCCCTGATCCTGGCCACGCCTCCTCTCTTTCGCCACGCTTTCATCCGGGCTTCCGAGCCCCGTTCGAACGCGCTGACGTCACCTATATAAAGGCCCTCAGCCCCTTTGTTCCTCTTCAGTGCGTCGTTGCAGTCCTGCTGGTGGGGACGAGGTAAGGACGCGAGGTGGCGGTGGAGGGAAGCTTTCTTTTTAATCCGAGCCTTTTTTAAATATATATATGTAAAGATGTATGCTTTTCTACCTCACACTTGCATACCATTTCCCTGCCAGCGATTCAGGGGGAAGCGGCCCCAAAGGCCGTTATTTTTTTTTTCCTCCACATGTCGTCAACGGTTTTCACCCTTCCCGCTCATTCTCAAGGGGTGGTTAAGGCGCCATTTTACAGCTCTGGAAGTGGTACGGGCTGAGCGGCGGGAAGCACCCCCCCACGGCCCCCAGAGGGAGGGTCGCGGGAGCCGCCATTTTGCGGCCGCCTTTGGAGGCGCCTCAATGCTTCGCGCGCCCCCGCCCCCTTCTTCAAGGCGCGTGCGGCGAGGGGGGAAGGGCGCCGGGGAGTGCGCACGCGCCGCTCTTTCGGGGCCGGGTTTGGAGAGGGCGCGTGCGCTCCGCGCGCTCAGTTCGTCCGGCGCGCATGCGCGGTTTGCGCGAGGAGCTCCAGGGTTTCGTTCCTCGGCGAGCGAACGTGGGAGTTGCCTTTCCTCCTTTTCTTAAAAGCCGGTTTCTTCCCTTTCTAGCCAAGTACAAAAGCTGAATATTCTGGAAATTTTCCTAGGTTCTGCACCTTGGGAGTTTTAAGTTTCTTTTCTTCCTCCCCCTTTGAACTTACTGTCCATTTCTGTTTTGGAGTAAGCCTGGGCAAAATTGAATGGCCGACGGGGCTATGCGTTCAGCACAGTGTAGTTGCTCTTTCTGTGTTTTTGTTTAAACCGCTAAAAGAACCCGCACGTTTTTTCTCCAGGTACCTTAAGCCTTTTTGAGCAGTCAGATAGTAAGAAGTGTGACAACGGAGAACAGTTAAATAGAAGCCAGAACGTTTATACAGAAAGTTTAATGCAACTTTCACCCAATCTGGGTATCCTTCAAAAATGTGTATTAATTGCTAGATTTTACAATCAGTATTTTTGTGGCTGAGGTTCTGGGGGCTGAATAGAATAGTCCATGTCTGGAGGGCATTGGTTTGGACAGATTATGTTAGAAATTAAATTGACTTGATTGTATTATAACAGCCGGCTAACTGTGTTTTTAATATGTAGTAAAAGGAGCTGAGACTTTCTTTTTAAAAAACAATTCTGGAATGAGGGTTAGAATATTGTGAGGAAAGTTCCTGTTATGTTAAGTAGCCAATCCTGATTCATGCCTAAACTAAGATGTTGTTCTATCATGTTATATTGTTTTAGATTTTAGCGTGCCCAGGAAAATAGGGGCAGCTTTTTCTTTATATTGTAGCAAGAGGTCGGGCCCCTTCAAGATGTACTCTGTATAAACAACGTTTTAGCAAACCATTTGGTGCAACAGAGAGAAGCAATTAATAGTAACAATGATAGGATGTTATCAAAGCAGGTCTGTTATATGCAGCAAATTCCAAAAATCATCATCCAGTTGATGTAACTGTAAAGGCACATTCATTTTTTATGGTTTCTGAAGGTTGGTTGTGTTGTTCTAGATCCCAAGCAGTGTCAAAATGGTTGAAGCAGATCGGCCTGGGAAGCTGTTCGTTGGTGGATTGAACATTGAAACTAATGAGAAAGCTCTTGAAGCTGTTTTTGGCAAATATGGCCGTATTGTAGAAGGTAAGGAAAAGGCATCTTGACAATTTTCAGTTCTGCTGTGATGAACTCATCAATTTTGATCAGCTGAAGTGATAGAACTTACCTATCCTCTAAGAAGTTCTGAGCAGGCTTTTGTGTATCAGTGAATACAGGTACCCCATAAGATCAGCAGATAAAATAATACTTGTGTTTTTCTTAGTTCTCCTTATGAAAGATCGTGAAACCAACAAATCAAGAGGCTTTGCTTTTGTCACCTTTGAGAGCCCAGCAGATGCTAAGGATGCAGCCAGAGATATGAATGGAAAGGTGAGAATTAATGTCTGTTTTTTATTGTGGAAAAACTCAAAAAGGGAGTGCTGAGGTAATTTCAGGAAATTGTGTCTGTTGATTTTCTGAGAGATAATTTAAGACAATCTGATGTTGAAATAGGATACCAAAGGTGTGCTTTCCAGGATCTCTTAAAGTGAAAATAAAACTGGTATGGTATGTAGATTTTCAGTGGTAACAATTTGTATTATTTATTTTTATTTATTTATACAGCCCCTATCTCACAAGCAAGCAACTCTGGGCAATGTACAACAGGGCTAAAACAGTCAAGAAATACATTAAAAGATATAAAAGCCAAACTATAAAACAAAAAATAATAGACGAAGGGATGTTAAAAATAATGGGGCCACCTCACTAGTTCACCCATCCCCTGGGGTCCACAGGCTTGCTGGCATAACCAGGTCTTGAGGGTCCTCCAGAAGCTCAACGGTGATAAGGCCAACCTCACCTTAGGGGAAGTTTCCACAGCATGGGTGCCACAGTAGAAAAGGCCTGCCACCTGTGGTCCACCAGATGTAGCTCCCTAGGCGACAGAACCCATAACATGCCCTCTCTGCTGGATCTGGTAAGACAGGCAGATGAAATCGGGGAGAGGTGGTCCCTGACTGTAAAGGATCTAGATAATCTGCTTCATCCAAGGTCCTCTGAAGCTGCTGCTCAATCACCTTCCCTAAAAAGGGGAGGTTGGATTCTGGACAAAAATTTTCCAGTATCATGGGGTCCAGCGATGGCTTCTTGAGAAGGGGTGGAACAAAGCCTTCTTGAGAGGCAAAGGCATAACCCCCCTCGCTCAAACAAGAATTTGCCACTGCTAGAACTCACCCACGTGACACCCCCTGGGCCGCTTTCACAAGCCAGGAGGGGCATGGCTCTAAAGAGCGGGTGGCTGAGCTCACAGTACTAAGGACCTTGTCTACTTCCTCAGGTCCAACAGGTTCCAACCATTCCCAGATAACTGGGCAAGACTCCACCCTAGGCATCTCCCCCAAACGTGCAGCAAAGCCAGCGTCCAGTTGCCAATGAATCAGTGATTTTATTCAACAGATGCTGAGCAAATTCCTCTCCTCGCCCCCTTTACCCAAGAGGGCTCATATCACCAAAATAGGGATGCAGGGTGGCAATCTGCAGGTGCAATAAGGGTGGAGCAGTACCATCGCTGTGGTGCCACTATCACCACAAGGGTAGGCATTAATAGCAGCTCTAACCCGTGTTTGGTCAAGTCTGTCCTTAGGTGCACGCCAGCGATGCTCCAGGCATCTCTCATTTCATCTCCATCAATCCCTCTGTAAACCACAGGGAGCGATGGGATCCACAAGAGGGGAGAGGCCGCATAGCCGTGATTTGATTCAGAGCCTCAGCTGCCCCTTAATTCTAGGCAGCAACCAAGGCTTTGGATGGACCAGCAGGAACAATCCCTAGCTCCCTCTGGTCCACCCTTGGCAACTAATGGACCTGGATGGATTCCAATCTAATGGACCAGCCTCCCTGCAGCGGGTGGTGCCAGAGAATCCCTTGGTAATCAGGGTGTGATCTGACCATGACAAAGGGGACACCAGTGGCTCCCCCAATTGCAGATCATGTAGCTACTGCCCCGACAGGAACACCAGATCTGGTGTGTGACCACTGTCCTGTATCAAACTCTGGGTGAGCTGGGATAGGCCCATGGCCATCATGGTGGCCATGAACTCCTGACCCACTTCAGACCCCACTCCCAGGGAGAGCAGGTTGAAGTCCCCCAAGACCGTACATCTGCGGAGCTCCATCGCCAGCCTGGAGATGGAATCAAGGGGCTCAGGCAGGGAGGTTACTACGCAGCAGGAAGGCTGGTACAACAGCAACAATCCCAACCAATCCCTCAAGCCCAACTTAATAGCAGGGTCTCGCATCTGGTGACCTGTGTGGCAGCACCCCTGACCATAAGCGATTCTCAGATGACAGTTGCCACACCATCACCCCTGCCCCCAGTTCTCGGCTGGTGCCACACTCAAAACCTGGCCGGGCACATTTCCAAGAGGGGGACCCCCCTGGGCCCAGCCAGGTCTCAGTAATACATGCCAGGTTGGCCCTCTCATCCACGATCAGAGCACAGATGAGGGAGGCCTTATTATAAACTGACCTGGCATTTAAAAGCAACAGCCAGAAGCCAGGGCCTCTGACAGTGTGCTGTCCAGGTATAGGGGCTGAGATCAAAGAGCTGGAATGCCCCTCACTACCATAATATGGCTGACCCATCTGACCACATTGTCTTCCCCTTCAGGCCCCCCAGTTACAAAGGCCCAGGAACTCCCATAATAACCAAGTACATCTATCCCAGGGAGGGGAAACCAAGCACTCTGAGATCCACTGGATCTCAGTACCCTCAGGCACCCAGTACCCACCTCCTCCCACTCAACAAACATGCACACAAATATACACTAACACATTCAGCCTAACACCCAAAGGGCCCTTACCCAGCCACTCTTACCTGCTGGTTACGGTTCCCTTCCTGACCCCCTTCTCAGGCTCTCATCATGTGGGGGGAAGCATACAGAGCACTTAGCTGACAAAGTCTCTTTGGAGCTGTCGGAGAAAAAGGCTCTGTGGTGAGGGAGGGGTCCACAGCAGACTGCCATTTCGCTGCTATCCCGCCCCCCAGCACCACCAATACTCCAAATCCCCAAAGTCCAACAGATGGCCTCTCCAGATGGGAAGTCCCACGCAGTCGTGAATACCTTTTAGAAAATTGCTTGGTGCTAGTTGATCTTATACCATTAAAAACATGCCAGATGTACGCCAGAAGTTTGTTGGATGCACCTCAGAATACAAGAGGAAAAGATGTCCTATATAATAAGACAGTCTCATTTCTATTTCCAAAATGTCAGTATTGCAACTTGAGGTTATGGAAATGTTAAAGACAAATGAAATAAATCACTGTAGTCACGTATTTGCAAATCCTACATAATATTCTCTGGTTTAATGCAAGTACAATAGCATAACCTTGGTAACCGGCAACCAATTAAGTAGTATTAGCATTCTGAGTCCTGTGGGTGTGCTAACCAGCTAGAATTAGTTGCTGATAATAGTTTCAAATAAATGAAAGTCTATAAATGTGATGGATTAACAGAGCTGATCTAAGCTCACTCCTAAAAATCCAGCTTTCAAGTAATACAGGGAGGGAAAATAACTTGGTTGCCTTTCTTAAACAACTAGGAACAGAAATCTACCGTGATCAGATCACTCTAACTTGCAGCACCTCTTGATCCACTCTTTTTCTAAAGTGATGCCTGAAGCAAACAGTACAGGCAACACCTATAGCAGAATTTTGGTCACTACATCTTTATATTGCAACTTGGAGATAAGAATTGGCCCCTGCAGATTGTCTACTAATAATATTTTGAAAATGTTGAAATCTTCAGCCACTTAACCAGAAAGACCTTTAAAAAAATTAGTATTTGAGGTAATTAGCCTAAAGGCAGGCGTTCTTCACAAACATTGAATTAGATGCCTTTGTTCAGTCTTTAGATGGGAAATCCATTAAAGTTGAACAAGCTACCAAGCCATCTTTTGAAACTGGTAGACGTGGGCCCCCACCACCTCCAAGGAGCCGAGGCCCACCAAGAGGCCTCAGAGGTGGAAGAGGCAGCAGTGGAACCCGGGGGCCTCCTTCAAGAGGGAGTCATTTAGGTATGTTTAAGTTCCTTGTGTTGACAGTATGCAAGACTAGAGATGTTGATGGATAGAAGGAAAATTGCTGTGAGCAAGGATTATTATGCTTTAAAATGCAAAAAAAGTCACACTACAAATAGTGATTGGGGGATCCATGTGTTCTTATGCCTAGATGATGTTGGTGATCTTGCAGTCTGGCTCGCAAGAACTTTTGTTTCAAAAGTAGGTCCAGGACAAATATATAGAAGGTGCTATACTATAAATTCCTGCCTTAATATGCAAAAATAATATGAACCTATATGTTTTATATTTATATCAACAGGTAATTTTTAAAGTAGAAACAAGCCAGAATTTTGGCCATTGTTTGTTCAAGGACTGTGTTTCTTGGTTTTAAGCAGGTGCTGATCAGGCTGTCAGTAGCTCCTGGTCTGGATGGCTGTTTGCTATCTCTCACAGCTTATCTTATATTTTAAACTTAAATATCAGCTGCCAGAGAGCTCCTTTGGAAGCGAGCTGTCATCCTCCTATGCATGTTTATGAGCTTTCTGAATGCATCTGATTGGCATGTGAAGCATGTTGTTATTGAGTGACTGTTGACCTGATCCAGCAGAGTTCTCGTGTGTGGTGCTTTGTGTTTAAAACAAGAACAAAGAGTTGGTCATTGAAAGGATCAATAGTTATAGACATGATGAATGCGTTACCAGTTTTAGCTGCTTGTAAGAAACATTACTGCTTTTCTGTAACTCATGTTGTTACTGACTGTGGCCATACCATATAAAAATAGGTTTGTACCTAAATCTTGTGAATGTATAATTAGTGCAAGTTTCTATTTATGGGCATTGATCCAGAATAGAAGGTTGATTGTCAAAGACGTTCCTTAAGATGAGGGCAATCCTCTTGAGCGTGCTTGTTCTTAATCCTTTTCACTTCTGGTGCCTTTCAGCATCGTTTTGATGCTTATGAAGCTGACGTTATATGCTGTTCTATAGGTTCTTCTAGAGGCCCTCTCCCAATGAAAAGGGGTCCGCCTCCCCGTAGTGGGGGCCCACCACCTAAAAGACCTGCACCATCTGGACCCGTACGAAGCAGCAGCGGGATGGGTGGTAGAGGTAAGCATTGTGCAAATGCTGCTTCAGTTTGCTCATAAATTCTATCTTGAGGGAGATGTTGCTGTCGCACTTTCAAAATATGTGGCTTTTTCATTCTAAGTGCTGTTTGCATGTAATTGAGGCATTCTTCTGCTCCTGCTCTTCATACAGTATCTTTGAAAAAGTATCCAAATGTTTGCTGTTACTACCTTGGAATATGTAATCGGGCATGGCTTCTTTTGGAGGACTTGAATGTGACTTTATCATCTCTATAATATGAAACTTACTTTTCTCCTCTATTCTACTGAAGAATTTGTATAATTGTGCATAGCCTTTTACCTCCACTAAAAAAAAAAAAAAAGCTGGGCATAATGTTTCTCCCAGCTCAAAATGGGGACGAATACATTTGGGTTGCCTTGTTTTCAAAATGTTACAATCTGTTCTTAATTTTAGCGCCCCTGTCACGTGGCAGGGACAGCTATGGGGGGCCTCCACGAAGAGAACCATTGCCATCACGAAGGGATGTCTACCTGTCCCCCAGAGATGACGGCTACAGTACTAAAGACAGGTAAAATAATGCTTGCTGATACTTTCAAGATGGTGTCCTTGCACTTTCTGCCCCTTTGCTTTTCAGTAATCAAAAAGTAACTTAGTTTTAATTTCTGCAGTTACTCAAGCCGAGATTATCCAAGTTCCAGAGACACAAGGGATTATGCTCCACCTCCCAGAGAATATGCCTATCGTGATTACGGACACTCCAGTTCACGTGATGAATATCCCTCAAGAGGTTACAGGTACCTAGTGTTCAACTGTATGTGTTAATCTCTTAACGTTGCGTAGAATTAACGTTTAGGAATATGCCTGCTTCCACACAAATACGTTTTTCATTTAACCTGGCTAGAAATCTCTTTAAGGATCTCTAGAAAAACTAAAAGCCTAAAATAAAAACCAATGCCTTTAAGTCACCTCCTAATCTGTAACGAGAAGAGACTGGTGTTGGTCACACATTGCAGGTAGTCCTTGGCCTACGACCATTTGTTCAGCAACTGTTCGAAGTTATGACAGCACTGAACAAATGGTGGTTGCAACCGGTCCTTGAAGCTCCTGCCGTCCCAGCACCCCTGCGGTGGCATGATTGCAATCTGGCACTTGGCAACCGTTTGCACTTATGACTGGTTGCAGCATCCTGCGATCACGTGATTGCCATTTGCAACCTTCCCTGCCAGCTTCCCTAGAAAGTTAATGGGGAAGGTGTCAGGGAAGGTCGCACGTTGCTGGGGTGTCTCCCTCACCTACGCACCCTTCTTCAGCCCCTCTGCACTCATGCTATGCCTCATGCACCCCCTCACACCCTCCCCGACCCATGCCTGTCACACATCCTTACTGCACCTCCCCCTCACTCCCTCCCCCACCTGGCAGCAGCCATTTACCTGCCTGCGGGGCTGGGACTTGCAACTTCCTGCCGCTTCCACACTGACTTTGGTTGTGGGAAGCTGGCAGGAAGTTGCCTCAGCTAACGACTGTGGGATTCAGTTAACGACGGCAACCAGGACTGCAGGGATTGCCATCGCTAAGTGATGTGGTTGCACTTCATGACCACTTTGCTCAGCAATGGAAATTCTGGTCCCAATTGCTGTCATAAGTTGAGGACTACCTGTATCTAGTCTTGAATAAGTTGTTTGAATTAAATACTGATGGCAAGGCTTGGGTTTGATGCCCTGCTCAAGATCTCAGAGTGCAGACCATACAAGTAATACTAATTTGGCAAAATGTAAATAGCATCTCTACGCATCATGCTTTGCAGAGAAGAGATTGGACCAATGTTGCACCATTCTAGAAATAGAGGAAATGCAAATAAAAGGAAATCAAGGCAGGAATAGATGAAATGACGTTCTGTCACTGTGGACTTTCTGTACTAAACCCTAGTAGTTATTCCTCCTACAGCGATCGTGATGGCTATGGAGGGCGTGACCGGGATTACTCAGATCATCCCAGTGGAGGCTCTTACAGAGATTCCTATGAGAGTTATGGTAAGTGCTGACTTTGAGGGTTTCTAAGGAATGTCATAGGCTTCTTTTTGACTCGCTAGACTGCTGCTCCTTAAAGAGGAGGATTAATGTGCTGGGCTTTCCTGCTGCAGTGGAAGAAACATGTGACAGTTTTTATTTTAACAAAATGATTGGATTGCAGTTCCCATAACCTATCGAAGCAAAGTTCAACAATTCTGAATTGCATCTATCACTGGAAAAACAATGGCTGAGTTTCTTCTATAAAATAGCAAGCTATTCTGGAATAATCCCAAAAAAGAGCTACCTTGTGAAAAAACGGCATCTTCAAACGGCCTGTTTATTTCGTTCTCTGCCCGATCCTCCCCTACCAAATGTCCCAACATGTGGGATTATATTAAACTTCTCAGTTTAAAATTCAAAAAGAGTAAGAGAAGCCATTGATGCAGTTCTTTTAAACTCAGATGTAAAATTGTGGTGATATGATTTATAGTGTTGCCCTATTACCTGACCATTGAACCTGCAGGTAACTCACGTAGTGCTCCACCTGCACGAGGGCCCCCTCCATCATATGGTGGAAGCAGTCGCTATGACGATTACGGAAGCACCCGAGATGGGTATGGTGGAAGTCGAGAGAGTTACTCAAGCAGCAGAAGTGATGTCTACTCAAGTGGCCGGGATCGTGTGGGAAGGCAGGACAGAGGCCTTCCCCCTTCCATGGAAAGGGGGTATCCTCCTCCACGCGATTCTTACAGCAGCTCAAGCCGCGGAGCACCCAGAGGTGGCGGCCGTGGAGGGAGCCGCTCGGATAGAGGCGGAGGCAGAAGCCGATATTAAAACCTTTGAAACTCTTGGACCAAATCAGTTTTTTCCTCCAACACAAGGAATGTGGAAGTTTTATCTTCACTCCCAGAGGACTACCGAAACGTTGTTTTTACCTTTTTTTTATTGTTGCTTGTTAAGTTCCCCTCCATTACTGATGTTTTTTGTGAGGAAAGAGTAAACATGTTTAATTTCATTTCAAAATTGTTAATATTTCTCTCAAAAAGCAGATGTTAATGTATGACATTTTGAGCCTATGTACTAGTGTTGTAACCTTTCAAAGTAAACGTTAACCCTGAAATGCCACACTTTTCACTTCATCAATGAAACAGCAAATCTAAGGCATCTCATGCATCTAAAATGGCCATGGATCGTTCTGCGCATGCAAGCATGCCTTCTCTCTAGGCAAGACGTATTATTTGTTGGAGGGGGGTGGGGATGTATGCCAACCCTAAACTATTAAGTGTCTTCTGAAATGCACAAGATGCTCCCAAATATGACATGTCTTCAGTCTTGTGTAAAGTTCAGGATACCATTCAGCCTTTAAGTCAAAACAGCCAATGGATGTAGCTGAATGTACATTGTGCCATCCTACGTATTTTGTTAGGGAATTTGCAAGAACCTCGCCCCCCCAGTAATATATTGATCTGTAGCCAGCAAGCTACAGAGTTCTGTAAATAAAGAGGTTTGACCCATTCCATCCAAGAAGCTGCAGAACGGTACTTGCTCTTACTGTTTCAAATTTTTGCAATCCTGTAGTGTCTCATTTTTAAAGGAACATCTTTGACTCCAAAGGCAAAATGGAGAAAGTAAGATAAGCAAAGAAGTCTTTCTCTCCAACTTCTGAAAAGCTTATGGCTTCATATAAACAACAGCTTTAAAGCATCAAATACCTGTGAAACAGCAAAGATGGTAAGCAAAGCAAACTAGTTTTTCGGTCTAAGTCAAACGTGAAACCAAAGCTATCGTCCTCTTAGTACTGTAGGACGTGCTGTGCATCATGGCAATGGAAGTTTTCTAGATTTTAAAGAAAGCACCAAATGGAAAAAAAAAAAATACCTGTGCTGGATAGCCTTAGGCGAAGCCTTCCAAATTCATCATAACCTTGTCTTGGATGAAAGTATGTATGGCACAAAACTTTTGAAAATGATGCTAAGAAAGCAACTCGTAAACAAACATTCCCATAAAGGGTTGGGAGGGACTGTTGCTTTTTTGGCCAATATGTTTCAATGAAGATACTTTTATGTAAAAAAAAAAAAAAAAAACGAGCTACTTGTACTTTTAATTAAGAAATTAAAACAATAATGCAATCAGAACTTGGCTTAAATTGCCAAAATCTGTAACAGCTTGGGAAATGTCAAGCCAGCCATGATTACGAACCTGATGTTTAGTTGGACGCCTGACTTTTTTTCTTTATACTGTAGTCTTGTTTGGGAGTTCTGGTACCTGTGGCAGAACCTGTGGCAAGTTCTCATGACCCAGGTGCGGCCAGGAAGTTCAAAAGATGCTGTTGAAATGTAGTAAGGCTTGAAGACCTCCAACTAAAGTTCTACTCTAATCCTCAAAACATATTTGCCAGTCAAATGGACTTACCATGAAAAGCACCATTGGAAAGGAAATCAGAATCCATAAGCCATGCGACTTTTTCACTAAGCCATTCCAGTTCATTCCAGTCCAGTGAACCTTCCACCTCTCAAACGTAACACGTTAGATCGTGACAGACTAATCGGCAAGCCCGGGTTTTTTTGTTTCTGGGGTGGTCGTGGGCTTGGGCAGCTGGGGCGGCCGTAATCTCTCACACCGTCTTTAATTGTTGCAGGCTGAACATTCCCTTTAAGATGAGGCCTGGGAAGCGGTCCGTGTGTTGGAATGGGTGCCGGGATGGTTAGCTGTAGCGGAGCGGCAGGTAAGGCAGAGCTCAAAATTGCTCGTTTCAGGGGGGTTGCAAATGGAGAAAGGCTGAACTCAGACAAGCCCGTTGCACCGTTCGGACGGCTGCTGTGTTGTGGACGTAGCTGGCATCTTGAAGTGCTGCGGTCCAGTTCGAACAGCCTGAGAAGGTGCCCCTTGGAATTTTTTTAAAGCCAGAAATAGATGTTGTATCCAGTAGGGTTAATGCGCCAGTGTCTGTTCTGTTAAGATATTTGGGAATGGAGCTATATATGAAACACAGTATAAGGAGTCTTCGGTAGAAACCTTTCACAATGACGCTTGGAGGTATCTTTCTTTTCCCCAGTGGACATTATGGCTCACCTAGTTGTTGTGTTGTTTTGTGACTTCACTTTCTGTGTGCCGTTCTTAAATAGTGTCATAATTTTTAGTTTTGAAATTTGCATTTTGGAGATATAAATGGTTAAACCGCTGGAGCTAATGTGCTTGTGCACGAATAACTCTAGTGACCTGAACAAGGCTAAGCAGACAGCTCTTAAGCTTTTGCTGAAAGCTATTTACCATTGAGGTTGAGCCTTTCATAAGAGCTGGCCCGTCACTTTAGAAGGTATTACGGGAGAAGAGTTGTGTTATTTTATGGCAACCCATTCAGAAGCTGCAAGCAGCTGGGGGGTGTTCAGGTGCAACTGAGTCAAGATACCGAAATGGTTTTCTTTTTGCGCTACGCAGCATTTCATTTTGGAAGTGGCATTACCTAGGCTCTATTAACAATAGTACGCTTTGACAGGCTGTTCCAGAAATGTCTCTTCTGACACTCTGCTAATATTCTTGTTTGTATTCCAGGTACAGACGTGAGCGAAGGCCTGTAAGGAAGGCACCTGCTCAGCAGACTCAAAATATGGCTACGAAGTTTAGTGGAGGCATTTGCAAGGAACCCGTTTCACAAATGCCGTTGTCAGTCGTGGCTACAGACGTGGGTCGTACGTGAGAAGAAGAGCCCTAAATGTCAGAACGTTGGATAGAGATTATTTTTGTCATCTTACAAATGCCGTTGCAATCCTGGCCGGCCGGCATGTAGCAGAAGCTGTGGCGTGTGACTTCAGTGGTGGTCAGGAGCGAGTGTTGGGGCCCTTCAGCTAGGAAAGGTGAAGAGTGCACCTTTCTCTCTTAAGTAACTTTATTTAATTGAAATAATAATGACGGGGGTTAGACTGCCCTGCAGGAGAAGGATTTTCAAAACCCGACCAATTCCAATACAGAGCTTTTCCAAGAAGCTCTCTTAAATCCTCGTTAGCCAGGAGTTGAATAACAATTTGATTATTGAAGGTTTCTCTTAAAAAAAACAACAACAAACCACATGAATATCACAGCCATCTGTAAATATGGGGGGATCTCATAATGAGTAAGATTGCATAAAGTCCAGTTTGAGCGTGCTGTTATTAAATAAAGTTACCTATTCCCTTTTCAAAAGATGTGATTCTGAAAAGGAGCTAGTGCCACAAATTTAAGAAATAGGTTTCATTTTGCTGAAATGAAAACTGACTCATCATCGTGGAAGACACTTAGCCACTGAAAGCTGAGATCCTGCGATCGTTGTATTCACTGAGTTGTCAATAAAGCGTTAATTTCCTCCTGGGCTGTTTGTTATTCCAAAAAACTGTCTGTAATGCAGTTCCTACTTTCAGGATGGAGTGTGGTGCGGGAGCGGCCAAATGGTACATTTCTGACGCTTGATTCTCAGATACTGTGTTGGGTACGATATTACTGACTGGGTGCCAGCTTCTGGCAGGCTTTTAGTGTAGTTTGCTTTGAACACATTACGGAGTTGGAATATCTTGCCAAAAAGGATGCTTTGTAAGTTTTATAACTGAGGCCTTTGCTTCTGAACGTTCTGGTAAAAGCTTGCCAGATACGCAGGAATATTCTGACCCGATCGTGTGCTTTCCAGGGTCTTTGTTGCTAGAAGTAGCTGGGTGCTGCAGTCAGTTAATAAACAGGTGGAGTAGAAAGCAGTCGAGACGAACTCTGTCTTGGGTCTGCCCGATTGTGAAGTAATTGAAGTGTAGAAAAGATGGGAGGCGCTGGTGGAAGGGGGTCCAGGCACATGTTCTTGGAGACCTTAAAAAGCCATCGGTGTGATTCTGCCCTGTATACCGAGTCCTGTTTTGTCACCTTGAGGCAGTGTTGGCCCCAGTGCTCCGGGCTCACAACCCTGCATTTAGGGGCAAGTCTCCACCCGAGTCCTGTATTGGCGAGTTTTGTACTCGATCGCCAGTGCAGAAGAATAGAGCTGTAAATGGTGACACCATCAGGAGTAAGAAAATGGAGGAATCCAGACCTAGGGAAAGCTGCTTACAAGGAAGGGGAATGTTTTAGGAAAAACTCCATTTTAAAAGAACGATTTGCAGCAGAAGTGAGAAGATGGCTTAGTTTTTGAGGAGTGCAAGAGATTTCCCCATGTTGGGTGTACCAAACAATTGTCAGTAGAGGGAGACGTTTGGCCGTGCAAAAGGGCCCGTGCAACTCAAGCCCTTGCAGATCTCTGGCGGCTGCTCGTGTGGCACTATGTAAAATACATGATGAAAGGGAGATGTCTTGGTCAGCCGGCATGCCCAGAAGGTGGAGGCAATCCTGGGGAAATGCAGATATCTCCTGTGACGGGGAACACGTCTCTGGACTGAGCTCTCTGGTTTGCCCGCTAAGAGGCAGAAGATCATCCTGACCACCAGGCCTCTACGTTAAAACGTGTTATTCCATCCCTCAAGTTAACAGTATTGCGTGTCCCTTGGATATGGGGGAAACTGGTATGCAAAACAACCCAAAAGGTTTTGGAAAGTGAAATGTATGCAGTACTCCTATTTTGCCCTTTAAAACCCCACCCTGTTTTGAACCGTAGCTCTTGACATGCTCTGCAGCGTCTGGCACAGCCCTTGAGCTGAGAGAAGGGGGGCATCCTGGTGCAAAACCACAAACCCAAAACAGACAACCTGAAGCTTCAGGCTTTGGTGCAACTCCTGCCTCTCGTGTGGCTTTAATGGCAGCAGTTCCCTACAGTTTTGGGGGGGGGGATACTAAAAGCCTAAAATAGGCTTCCCTTTCTTGCAAAAGGCAACCTCCAGCTCAAAAGTCCTGCGTGTTCATCGTTGCCCCACCTGCTGCAAACCTCACCCCTCCAGAAATAAAAGTGGGGAGCTTGACCCCAGAAACCAGAGCGAGCCCACTCTTTTTCACCTCTTTGCCTTAGAAGCCCCAGTGTCGGAGCATTCAGAAGGCACAGGCCGCTTTCTGGATTAAGACGGCGTGTGAACTTCAGGCTGTATCAGCAAGGTCTTCGTTTTCATCAAAGGCTTGTGCTTGTTTTATGTACAAAATGGTGCCTTTTAACGGCCAATGTGGGGAGAGCTTTCCGTAATGCCAAGAGGGCATGCGTACCTCACGCTTAAAGATGTCAGCGTTTTAAAACATTTAACCTACTTAGGACTTGACCCTTAATCTGATTGACTTGGGCCTTATGGGGGCTGATGCCTTACAGGTTCTTGATTGAATCCTAGTCAGTCCTAGTCAGTGTGTATTGTCACAGACTACAGCCTGGAGTTGAAATGAGTGGAGGCGACTAAGGTGGGAGATCGTTCCCCCCACCCCCCGCCCTGTTTTTGGCAGTGGGTCACTTTTTAAAAATTCTTTCATACATTTAAAAATATCCCTGCAAATAGAAAACTAACCTACCAAGGTTTAAACGAAGCTACAACATTTTTTTCCCTGGTTATTTCTTAATCTTCCTTGCAGGGAGATATTTACCTACCAGCTTTTCCGCACTTTGTCCCTATCAGCTCAGTCATCACAGAACTAGAGATAAAAGATATTTCTGTTTACTGCAAACTTATCAGGTAGTTTTCCTCAACCTTGGAAGCTTTAAGATAGGTGGACTTCAACTCCCAGAATTCCCCAGCCCGCATGCTGGCTAGGGGATTCTGGGAGTTGAAGTCCACCCATCTTAAAGTTGCCACAGTTAGGAAACATTGTGCTCAGGGGGAAAAAATGTTCTTCTGCTTTGTACTTCTGCAGAAGTAATTGCATAAGACAATCCATGTAAACGCGACGAACTTGTTCCTCCAGTCCTAGCCGATTCAAGATGGTGCTTTCACGGTTTGTTGTTTTTTTTAAGTATTCGACTGATTTATCCTCTTATAGGTGCAGGGTAATAGGGGAACCTCTAACTGCTCGTTCACCCACCTCAGAAGAAGCCGGAAGATGCAGCCACGGATGTGGGTTTGGCTTCATCGTTGCACAAAAGAAGCGTAAGGTCAAAAGAATCTTCAGTCATGAATCCAGAAGAGCAAATAGTGACTTGGTTGATTTCTCTGGGGGCCGTAAATTCCCCCAAAATGATAATTGGCGACCCCGTGCAATTCCTCAAGACATCCCTGAAAGATGGAGTTGCCCTGTGCAAACTGCTTCTGCGGCTTCTGCCCGGATCTATCGAAAAGGTACGCCTATGAGGATTTGTCTGCTTGTTTATAGAGGGGGTAGAGATGGACTTTTGGAGACCAGATGGACTGGTTTTTGGTATTTTTGTTGCAAGTCATAGAATCTATGGTTTGAGACTCTTGAGTACTGGGGGTGAAGTTTAATTGCAAGTGGAAAAAAACCCATGGTGGTGTTTAACGGGGGTGGAGGACGGGATCCCACACCACTGGGGAACCTAAGAAGCCCCAGACCTTGAATGGAGCAAAGAAACAAAAATATCTGATTGATCTACAATCCAGTAGAGATCTTTCTAATCCAGAATGGAAGAAGATGCCAGGTTTGCAGAATAAAGACCAAAAGCAATGAGGCTTCAGCTTTATAACAAAGATACAAAAGTCCTTTTAGGATGGGAAATGGACAGAAAACTGCCTGGGGCCAATCTAAAATAACATTCATTTTTTGAAATGGTTGGCTCAATGACACCTCTTGATTCAAGGCAGCAGAACTCGCCAGTTCAACTAGGACCCCAAAAGCCATTCCAGTATTTACCCCCTTCCACTCCTGTTTCCAGACGATTGATTTCAAAGGGGGGATGACCAAGGTAGAAGAAATGAATGTTGATTTTGAAATCCATGAGTAGAAAGTGAGAACCCCTCTCAGGATATGCCTGTATCTAGACGAACAGAACCGAGGATCTATGAACTCTTAGGCTGAGATAAGCCTTTGGAAAGTGCAAGAGTCCGAAGGAAAACACCGAATAAGAAAGAGGAAGAAATAAAACTATGTTATATTCTATTGCCTTTGAAGTTCCTTTCTTTCTCTGAAAAAAGGAAGCTTTTCATGGCAAAACTGCTTGGACTGTGCTCCACATAACACCTGCGTGGGCAGCCTACCTCTCTGAATTGTTCTACAAAAGGGTCTAGATCAGTGTTCCTCACCCTTGGCCATTTGAAGACGTGTAGACTTCAACCCACAGAATTCCCCAGCCAGCCAGCTGGCTGGC